CGCATTTCACTCTTCCCGAGTGCCTCGTAAATGGTAATAAGTTAACATCTTCGTAATTTGAAAGCTGCTCGGAACCTTTGTCGTCATCTACATGTAATTGCCCTCATGAGCCCTTTGTCTCCCGACTTCGACCGACGGAGCTCTTCTTCGAACGCACAGACTCTACCAAAGCTATGTGAGGCATACTACGTATTACATATATATCGCGCTATAGGGATGTCAGGGTATGGATGTCGCCAGAGATTTAAATTCAATTCGAAGCAATAATCGGGGTCATTACATGGATTAATCGCATTAGGATGAATCGGACACCGTTAGAAATTTTTCGGATCTGAAAGGATTAATGCTAAAAATTGCTTTGGTGAAACTGGGGATGAAATTTCAGGGTAATCTATAAGAAGAAGGAAATTATTGCTCCAATTATTTATATAGAATGAAGAATGCAGTATCCAATCACAAGGCCGAAATAAGAATGGTAAACGACTAAAAACTTATTCTTTCAAAGCAGTTCGATCTTGCACGCGCGGAGAATTTAAATCAAATTTAATTTAATTTATCATTAGCGTTTCTGCTGAAGCAAGTTGTTCGCAATACGTCCAAGAGAAAAGTCCCCATAGCATCATCATTTCACCCCAAAGTCCTGACAAGGGAGCCCAGAGAAAGATAGACAGGCGTGGCTCCTATTACTCTAAGCGAAGTGAAAGGAGCCACTCGAGATGCAAACAGTAATTGCGGGAGCGAGGGGTAAAAGGAGATTCTTAATATCAAGGTCGAGTTTCCGCATAATTTTTGGCCGAATGCCTCAGCGCTGTAAGCAAAAGATAATACGGGAAAGAGCCTGTAATAAGTGGCTACGGGCAGGAAAGTACAGAAAGGTACTGAAAAGTACCGAGCTGCGTGCCGGGAGCGTCTTGTTTCGATGGAAAAGTCTGTTTAATTCTCGGAGCTCGTTCCACTTCGGGTCGATGTATTTGCTCTTCGATTTCTTTCCGTTTGAGATTTATGACCTCGTCCTTTCTTGTTACGTTCGATCGATGTCGGGGAGCTCCTTCCCGGATTAAACTTTGTTCTCGGGTGATTGGAAGAACGATGGGTGTCATCGAGGACATTTTAATATCGTCGTTCCGTCCCGGGACCCCGCCGTTGGAACGTCGGGAAAAACGTCGGGAAAACGTCGGGAAAACGTCTGGAAAACGTCGGGAAAACGTCGGGAAAAACGTCGGGAAAAAGCCGGCCCGTTAAACGTTGTGTGCATTCGCGACTCGAATCTGCCAGCGATCGTTCGGATCCGCAATGAAGGAAATGAGTATGGGAAAAGGAAACGGAATTCCGGAATTTTTCCCCTTCCGGAACGACTAAACAAATAGGAAAAAAATCGGGAACGCATCGGAAACGGTAACGGCGACCGTCACCGATCGTCACAAAAAACGCGACGTCGCACCCCGCTGCGATGGAAGCGACGAAGTCCTCAAAGAAAACGGGCAAGGTGAATGCGGGGATCATCCCGCGATCTCCCACGGGGAGATGATCCGGGGGATGATCCGGGGGATGATCCCGCAGAGCCGTGATCGCCCGTCGCGAACGACCTCGCCCTTTCTCGAGAGTTCGCAGAGGAGAAATTTAAATCGTCTCGAGTCGGACGTGTTCGCACTTTCCCTCGTCGCCGGCAAACTTTCACCTCGTAACCCGTATTTGCATAAAGGAAAAAAAAAATGTATCCCCGAGATTGCGGTGAAGACTTTTATGGCGTTGATTGCGGGGCCATTCAATATCATAGTGATTGTGAAAACGTAATTGGCACCTTCGTCTCGGCCATTTCTTCCGTTGGATCGAGCTCCGCGCATCCCCGTCCTCTTTTTTTTTTGTCTAGCCGCCGCTAATTAAGCACGCATTATTTAAGAAAAAGCAATTTTTCAACGAGCCTCTGATTTCTGGATTCCCCGTGGAAGGGAAAGGCCGCACCCAGTACTGCTCCTCGCGTTGCGAAACTTCGGAAAAGCCTGACCCGTCGAGATGCCGAATGGAAAAAATAAAAAATGGCGCGATGAAGTCGTGCAATTTCGGGACTGCGACGAGCCGTCGAGAAGAAAGGCCGACAGGTGCAGCCGAGTGGGATGCGAGACAAATTTTTGGCAAAGTTTCGTCTGGGCGCATTCCTTTCCGCCGAAGGATCATAATTTCGGGTTGCATCCGTGCCGAGTGCGTGACAAAAAGCGACGGTTGCTTCGGCTGCAACTTCGTGGCGAGATGGCGAATCGGCGGTAACGTCTCGCTTTTAAATTGCATGCGTTTTGTGTCTCGGGGCGAATTAACCGGCAGATCACACGTTTCCGCACGAAACCGCCATGCTGCGCGGGAGCGTTTGGCTCGGGAAGGGAAGAGTCGTTGGGAACGGCGTTCCCATGCTTTTTTCCGATGTGCGAACGGTGTTCCCAGGAGCTTCTCGAGAGTGAGAATACCGTTTTAATACTTCTTGCAGGAACTTAAAAAAAAAATATGATGGTCGATGTGGGCGTTTGGAATAAGGGACTACAATGGGGGGGGGGGGGGGAGTGGAAAACATGACATCATCGTCGAAATCGTTCTCATACTCCTACAGTCGACTTTCATCATGTGAGCTGAACCAAAGGACTGGCCTTGGCATACGGGAAGATTAAAAGCAACGGGGGGCAACGAGTGGGACTCGATTCCAGTCGATCCAGCGGAGAACTCGGAGGGGCCCCTGTCCTCTTCCCCTCGTCAGCAAGCGATCGGCATGTGGGGGCACCGATCTCTCGGCATGTGGGGGCACCGATCTCGCGGCATGAGGGGGCACCGATCGTCCCGATCCGTGGCAGTGAAAGTCGCCGAGGGCGTGGCGCGAGTCGGTGCGTTTGCGATTCCGTTCGGTCGATGTCGACGATTCGGGGCTTCGGGGGATCGTGACGTCATCGAGGGAGCTGGGTCGGATCGGGATCGGAGCCGATACGTGAGAAATGTAGATGCGAGGGAGTCGCTTCGCCGGGGCCTGACGAAGCAGATCTCGATGCGTTTTAGCGGGACTCCGTTCCAAAAAGGAAAGCGACCGCTAATGGTTCCAGATCGACTGCTATTGCGTCTCGGTTTTCACTTTCATCGTCCGACGATGAAACGACGCGAAAACTCACGACCGAGCGGAAGCTACGGACGAGATACAGCTCACACAGAGTTCGTGGTGATGCTCGTGTCGAATTATACTTTCACTAATGCGGAATTTCTCGTGCATTTGCATCGATCGACTGCGATCGGGGAAGAGTTGTCGACGTTGTCGACCCGACTTCCCTCTGCCCTTGAGACGGTACGGCCCAGGTGCATTTACTTGGTGGAATTCGATACCCCCTCAGCTCGTGCCGCCTCCAAGCGGAATACGAGAATGCAAAACACCTGCACGTGCTTCGACGGGGCAACAAAAGGAGGACGCCAAAAGAAATGGTAATTAGTAACAGCTCGGTTTCGAACGAACTCCCCGACTCGACACGATTCAACCCGAATGCCAATGTTCCATAACGCAGATTGAAGATAGCGCTTCTTCATGCATCACCTGTCCTCATTAGCCCATTTAACAGAATCGGAAACCTTAAATCGTTTGCTGTTCTCGTCGAATTTTCCAAGAGTATACTTCACGGTTGACAGCTTGGAATCCGTCGATAGATAACACCGGGGTACAGATTCCATGCTTTCTTCATCGTGAATCAAACGCAAGTACGGCATTCCGGTTTCATTGCCGCAACCTCAGCGGCCGATATCATCCTCACGACTAAGGAAATCCAGACTGAAACCCTCAAAGGCATTCATTACCGTCACTGCAATCCCTGGAGCAACACACAATACGTCACATGCCTGTGCATGCGTGATGGCCTGCAGCTCCCTCGGCCCAGGTGTGCATAAGGTCTCTATCTCTTAAGAGTGTGCCGCAGGGAATACCAACATAGTCGATGCCGATAGGTGTTAGCCGGCCATGCAAGTTTTTCCTCCCTACTTTACAGCGCACAAGCTCGACAGCTAGATACGAGAGCTCTCGGTACCTGTGTTGGAGTAGCTTACGCACAGCTCGGAAACCATCGGCTGTGAACGGTTCCTTGCCTATGCTCTTTATAGATATGGAAGGCAACGCAAATGGTTAGGATACTTCGATGTTTACCTCACTTAGGCCAAGTCGGTCTGAATGAGTTGTCTGTAGTGCATTTGACAGTTAAACGATCAGGTAACTTTCAGGTGTCACCTGATAAGATAGTGACGTCTGCTGTGAGCCTCGGATACATTGAATCCCTCTACCCATGCATTTGTGTCAAAGTTTTGAAATGTCCTCGATGTATCAAGCAGACTCACCAGTGTCTTTCTGCATTTCTGTCATGATGTTCTCTTGTGCTGGTGTTGTGAAAATGAATGGTGTGAGGAGAGTCATGTATGCAAGAATGTATTTCAGGGAGAAACTGTCTGGATGTCATACAAAACACTTACAACGTACCCATTCGAGCATGTGAGACAGACATGTACAGCCATTCCATTTTGTACAAGAGAGACCGAGGAGCAAGAAAGAAGGGAGTAGGAGCAATATACCTGTATATACAATGCATGTGACATCATGTTCGTTTTCTTTGTTGAGCAGGAGTCGTGTGAGGCTGTCTGGTATGGCTTGTGATCTGCTCTGAATGATAACACCTCCGCCAATCCATTCAGCTGGTTTTCTTAGAAAACACAGGCCAATCATAAGTGGAAAAAAAAGATTACTCATACTCATGTCATCCAGGTGCAAAGAAACGCAACTTCCAGATTTCTTCTGCAACTCCAAAAACTCAAGAGTTCCTCAATTGAGTAACTTAAGTATGAATTTCAAGCAATTTTGGGAAGAAAAATAAGGTAACAGGAAACAAGGGAAACAACAGGGATCCAGAGAATCGAAAAACAAAACTGCTTTCACTATTGTCTGCTAGCATGCATATGGATGGGAGACCCAGGGCAAGCTGGTGGACAAGTCACAATCACATGTCGTCTTGGATATTGGTCAGGAGATCCACAAAATGCCAGTGACCCATCAGGACTTCTAACTCCATGGAGGACGGCCCTGATTGTCCACAAATTCATTCATGCAGAAGAAAGATGGAATCATCTTCTGTCAATAAGCACGACTCCCTCCACGACTCACAGAATAACACAGCTTCAAGATGTATGGATATTTCCCACCTGCAAGAAAAAAAAATAATGACAATGACTCAAGAATCAAAAACCTCAAACACAAAAAGGAGACACAGAATCCAAAAACTCACTTGGATTAGGAATGGAAGTATGATTGACCATTACCAGTGCTTCAGTCGCATCTGATACTGAATCAAATTCCAGGAGACCTGAACAGCTCCTCTCACCTTGGGGAATACACAACACGAATGCAAGGAAACTCTCTCATTTGGGACATTCTTAAGACATACTGAAGTACCTACATTATCATAATGCATAACGGTGAATATGAACCTGAACATGCATGGGAAAGGCTATTATGCAAATCCTTTAAACAGGAAACAGTCTCTCAGATCGTCCTGTCTGATGGAAGTAGAGTAAGACCAGACTTCCAATTTTTCAACTCGATCAACGTTGGCAAGTGCCTAACTTAATTTACATGTCAATGAAGCACACAGAATAAAGGATGAAAAATCCAAGTTTAGGGCGGACAAGCTTACTTTTTCCCTCAAAAATTCTGATGGATGTTGGAGCAGTCACACTGGCTTCCTTGAAGATCTGATGAAGCTCTTCTTCTGAAATCCCTGGAGGACAGTTGAAGAAATGCAACAACTGGAAAGAGAACGAGATATTCGTTCAACACCTTACACACCCCAGGGTCTTCGATAATCTAATGAGGATTGCTTGCCTTGGTTGGTGCTTGGATTCGGTTCTTGGATGCCATCTCAGGATTCATAAAACGATTATTTTTGCAACCCATGTAATCTTTGAAAGACGGGGAGCTATCTTCGAGGTCATACGGCTGTTGGACATCGGCTAGGAACGCCTGCTTGGAGTATCTATCAAATAAAAGAGCCAATTATGTAACGCTCGTCTGCGCTATTTGTTGGAGCAAACTAGTGTACTGAGACATCAATTTGCCTCATTAAAACAAAACTGTTGGAATTTGCACAACATGAATAAAGATCGGAAAGAAATTTACTGGGAATAATAATGAAAATATGATAACTGAAAATTAATGTTTCTCAAATATAAAAGCTAAAGGCGATGAAATAAAATTCGGACGATCAAACTCACGAGAGCATCATCTTTGAACCAAAGAAAGAAATGCCACTGAGGTTAGCAATGGCTCGCTCCACAGCAGCTGGGTCACCCATTTGGAGCATGGCACAACCTTCTTTGCTCTTGAGGAACTTAATCTGCAATGAGAAGTAAAGTTTTTTGTTCTCACTACAGCATGGATATGGAGGAACAAACTCCATGTATAAACACATCGCAGGTTCTTTGACGAATGATCCACCATCCCCTCCTTTCTACTAGTTCTTCCCATGCAATCAATTGAATCAACACTCCTCCGTATTTGCACAAAGCTTCTCAGGGGAGGAAAGAACAAGAATATCCACCATCTCCCTTCGTTTCCTTCCGTCCACGTCAATGCCAGAGAACTATACTTCTGCACCAATGTCCAACGGCATGGGGGTTGTGAAGCGACAAAAACCTTGCATGAATCCTCAACCCAAGCAGAAAGAAACCATCCATCTCATCATTCCAATCTGGGTAGTAGCGGGATGACATGCCAAGGAAAAGAATGTCCTCCCATAAAGGCACAGTGTACAAAGCAGGGACTACGTGGAAGCGTAACAAACTTAGAGATGGGCGTGCTCGCTCTTTTCTTCCCTCTCCGCCCCCCTCTCTTTCTCTCTCTCTCACATTTAATCTTCCTTACACTTTCATTGCTCTGACATCTCCACCGTAATAAAATAAAAGCCAGCTCAGGCTTCCATCTTAAAAAATGATCCTCGAGGATAAGTTGGTTCAACTTGAGAATTTGATCATGACAAGACATTCGAGTCTGTGAAATGGGCAAGATACGATAATTGACAAGGGAACCCTCTGCAGCATTTCCCAACACCCCATCCCTGTCTTTTCAGCTGAATGCCCTGGCTCTGTCCCAGCCATGCATATACATTCTTCCTCTTCGGTGCACCGACCGACCTAGGGTCCCCAAGGAAGAGCTCAGGGAAAAAGGGGGGGAAAGGGAAAAAGGGGGAAAGGACATGGATCATGTTGACAGCCAAGGGACTTAGCTCTTGGGTGGAATAAGATGGGACAGGACAGCTGCGGAGTGCAGGAGAAAACTTGAATCACAGTACAGCGTACCCCTTAGCTTAACTTGGCTTCCCATATCTGCTTCCTCTCCCATTCCCCCTTTCTTGCCTCTTTTTCCTTCCTTCCTGCTCATTGCCCTCATGCCTCATTTGTGATACATACCAGTGTGTTTATTTCCATTTCACCATGCCATGCCCTGAAAATGGTAAGACCTTCCATGGAATTTGAGATGATGGAAAAGTACCACTATACGAGTACCCGCAAGAAAGGACTCTTCCTGACTGTGTGATGAAGAACATGTACCAAACTCGAGCTTGACTTGAGACTTAGCTTGACATGCATAATAAAGGCCTAATCAATCACGGCCTGTCCTCTCCAGGGACAAGGTGAATCGACATCATTAGCATGTGACTAAGAAAGGCTTCTTAGCCCCCTCATCCTCTTATTCCTTTTTCCCTTCATCTTCTGAAAAGGAGTTGCAACTTCTCCTTGTTCTTGTGCGAGAGATTTGTCTTCGTCTTAGGCAAGCCATGACAGGCAGGCGATTGAGCACGAAGACCCGATGACAATTGAGGCGTTGATGACCTAGGGTGACACGAAAAAGGGCTTTTCGTTCCCTTCTTTCCTCCTTCAACCCCCCTGACGACCGGATAATAAAGAGTTTCCTAATGGATTTCCGACTTCCCTTCGCTCCCCGGCATCGATCAAGCCGAATCGGAAGTGAAAGAATACGGAGCAGTAAACTCTGTCCGTGTCTCACCTTTACGATGTTCCCAAAGAGGCAGAAGAGATTGAAGAGGCGATCGCAGTTCATCTTCTCAGGGTTGAGGCCATAGATCATCATGACGGAGCCCTGTTGGGGAACCCCCGGAGGACCACCCATACCACTCACACTCAGGGAACCTGGCCCGGGTCCCGATGGTCCACCGTGATATCCTCCTCCGCCGCCTCCCCCCCCTCCTCCGCCTCCCCCTCCTCCGTTCCCACGGAGGCCACCATACCCGTTCGTCGGGGACCCGTAATCGTCTTTGAACGGATGCCTGCAGGGTCAAACACCATGCTCACTCTTACAAACCCTTTTATCCTCTATTCCAAGACGAATCTTTGCGGCAAGCAAATTTGGGAAGAGTCCAGGTATCTACGTCTGAATGCTGAAACCTCATTTAGGGGGATAAAGGAGCCTTTAAGTTAAAGAGCTCTCTTCCCCCATAGGAGTCCAAAGATTCTTAAAGGACCTTTAACGAAAGGAGATTTCAGCATTAGGGACGAAGGTCTTCAGTCGAAACTGCATTGTGTCTATGCCTTACATTGAAAAACACTTGGATTCTTCTTTTGCGAACGAAAGAGAAAATCGAAAGAATAAAAGAATCGTTAAAATGACCGCTCTCTTCTGGAAAGGAGACTAAGGCCCGAATGCTGGAACCTCCTTCATTTAACGGTCCTTTAAAAATACATGGACTCCTATGGTGGTGGGGAAGCTCTTGAGCTTAAAGACTCCTTTATCTCGCCTAAGTGGAGTTTAAGCATTCGGACCTAAAAGAACGAATCCGTCCTGAATGGTTTTTCCGTACAGCTTCAGGATGCATGCGGTTGACTGCCACTAAGGCAAATTACTTTAATGCCGAAACAATTAAAACAGAAGGGATGCAGGGCAGAACTAACGGGGGAGAGCGTGAAACATGGCGACATTTATGGCCACGTGACTCTTGAAATGACGTTGGTAGAAAAGAAAGGCAGAGGCAGACTTCACGATCGCCAGCGAGAGAAAGGGTAGCTGAGCAGAAAGAACCCCTTTCCATTCGGAAGTCACGGGAACCCTTCTTATATTTAACATCAGTTCTAAGAGAGCGTGAGCTAAAATCCATGATTTATGCAACTTCTCTCGTCTGCACATGAAAGAGAGCGCGTGCACTTGGACCTCTCTCTCTCTCTCTCTCTCCAGTCTTTCATTTCTCTATTCATACAAATCCACATGACCCCCGTGACTCAAAGGCAGGTATCGGAATTGCCAATGAGAGAAGCTAGCACTGGATGCTAAAAATAAGGCCTACGAAACCTTATTCCATGTGGAGAAGACCATGAACGAAGGCTTTCATTGGAGACAAAGATGAAGAAAAAGAGAGGCCGGTCGGTTTAGACCAACTGTGTGTAGTGTACTTCCCATTCTCAATTACCTCCTTCCCGTCATGGAAATGGAGTACGGGGGATCAATCTCAATATACAAAAGAAGAGAGAGGAAATAGCGGCACGAGGCCAAGAAAAGCACATGCTCCTTCGAAACTACGGCATTGCGCCATTTCGAAAATGCGTAAAAACCATATACCCACTTCTCAACTAATTCGTGACCTGCACCTTCGCTTTTCTCCTCCCACTCGTCCCTTTTCTCCAATTCCCTCTTATACTCAATGCCATCTGTCAAGGGAGACAAGAAATGAAAGGAAACTCGTCCTCGTAGGAGGAATGCGAATCCCTTCCCTTGCATGCAGTACCCGTACCGGAGATTTCGCACTTTCACTCGACCTATGCAGCATGTCTCTAACAGGACGAGCATCGTATCTAATAACTGATATCAAAGAGAGTGCTCCAGATGAAAAACACCGTGAAGAGGAAAAAGGGAGGAGATTCTTCATCACAAGAGAAGACGAGACACACGGAGGAGGGATATGGGAACCGATAGAGAATCAATAGAGGGCACTGGAGGTGGGCAATTTATCATGCTCATGCCCCCCCCCCCCCTCTCTCTCTCTCTCGGGAATTCTCTTTCCACGTCCAAGTAGAGGAACTGTCCTTCCGTATCGTTTTCACCTTATGTTTCCACTGCGAGCAACTGAGCTCTAGGAGTAGGAGACACACTGGAATCGAACTCATACTTTACCAAAACTGCAAACGAGTCAGCTGCAAATGACGTATTTGCTTTTCTCTTGTTCGAGGCAGGAACAAAATCGACCATACTGGCACCTCAAGACTGAGACATTGAGCTGTGCCCAGGACGCAGAACAGTTAAGCGACACCCTGTTCGATGCCATACAGTAAGATGTAGCCTTTCAATAAATAAAAAATAATCGATGCTGTTGTAGGGGTACAGCTCAACCTAAAGCTACCCGAAGGCAAATCCTCTTGCCTTCGGTAATAAAGGCCTTCATTACTACAGGGAAGTAAGTTTGCTTACAGCAAGCTGCCAACCAGAACTCTCAGTGGTCAGTGATGAAGGTGTGCAACTCAACAGAATCAACATTTCCTTTAGATCAGGGGTCGGGAACCTTTTTGGCCATGTAGGACATATTAAGATTGAGCTAAGTGCTTGTGAGCGAAAGATTTTCAGAACAACATAATTTTTCCTGAAGTTGGCAACACACAGCATTCTTTGATACATGAGAAAAACGAGGAACAACCATGATTTTCAGTCACGACTCAATGAGCCAAACTTTTCGGCTCGTGAACCAAATTTGGCTCATGAGCCATAGGTTCCCGACCCCTGCTTTAGATGTATGAAAAATACTCCTTTCTAATATATTTCTTTAATTACATTACTTGGGCCGCGACCAATTCAAATTCTTTAAGCTGAAGGTTAATACTCTTCTGTGGGTCTAGTCGGGACAGCTCTGGAAATTCCCCAAGGATTCCGCGACTATCGCACTGTCCAAGAACTAGGCGATCGATCTGAGGAACTTGCCCCATTCTCCGCCCTTTTCACGGGTGCCAACATCTGAACCTCCTCCGACTACTCATCGTCAATGCATAACAAAAAAACTAAATAACAAACAAAACAAAGCTGCCTGGTCCTAAGAAAGACGGAAACTTAACGGCCACCACGAATAAACCAGAGATACGGAATATATATCTCTGGGGATGAAATTGGATGGGATTGAGTAATGCCTCTTGAGTGTCTGCAGTATGATCGTAGTTACAGCATTGTTATGAAGATTAATCCCAGATCGGGAGAGGGGCTGATGAATCCCAGACATCCGGCGGCCAATTTGAGATAAAAGGCACAGAGATGAATGAAGACGAAGGAGAAAAGAAACCGTAAGGAAACCCATCGGCTCGTCTGAAATGATCTCCGCCCACAGACTCCTCATCCAAAACACCAGATGACCATTCCAGCATAATTGGTCTCAAATTAAAGCCAATTTGAAACGCAATTTATTTTTACCCTTTCCCTCCGAGCCCTCTCCCCGCCCTCTCAGAAAAGATCCCGGCAACAGCGATTGGCATGATAAGATTCTCGTTGCCAATTACGAGAGACGAATGACGAAAAGGAGAAGCATTTCATGATTCATGAGCGTGGGATGCAATGTGGCTGCTTCCTTGCCAAGCATCCCATGTTACATTCCTTCTCTCCCTCGGTCGAAAACTAGAGTTAAGACCCACCAACATACCTCTGCCACGGCGTTGAAACTAAGAAACTTCCCGTGAAAAATCTATCAGTAGCCTTGGGAAAACATTTGTTGTGACTCCTTCTTCCTACATATGAACCTCCCTGTTCCTGCTTCCTTTCCCGAACTCTTCGCCTTTGCTTTAGGCTGCCCCTTACGAAAAAGTCTATTGAAATCTTATACGATTTTTGAAGCACAATGATATCTCATAGGATTCCTATAGGGCAATTTCGTTTGAGTGCAACCCAAGGTAATTCAACAGGTTCATCCGTGTTCAGAATAGGCATTGGATGTTTATATTTTCGAATATGCGTAGACAGAAGTGATGACATACCTCCTGTCCATCTGAATGCTGTAGGTGTCATAGCTACTGCCTCCATTCATCGGGGAATAATCTCCTCCACCCCTGGAGCTGGGCCCATATGGCCCAGGTCCACCCCGTGGTCCACCATAATCCCCTCCTGCAATGACAACACGAGATCTGGAACTTCACAACCACAACATCGCATCAATTCATACCACCATAACACATTACATCCCAGTGATACCACTCTGAGGCAGGCTCGGAATGAAGCTCGAAGAATGAAGCTACCACACGTTATTCTCCCCTGTCACGTATTCGGGAGGGGGAGAGTGTGTTGTTACGGACGAGAAATGCCACAACTCTCCTCTCGGCACAGGTAATCAAGGCAGACGGAGCAAGGCCCAGAGACCACCACGAAATGGGCCAATAATAATCAAGGTATCCGGAAGGGAAGCAAGAGAGGAATTCCGGGGGAGAGAGGGAAGAAAACAAACATTCAGGACTCGCCATGTGGTGATGGAAGAATAACAGGCCACCTCTCCAGGAACCGAAGAAATACATCCTCTCCCTAAAGGTGGATTGAAAGGTCGCGCCTGGGAAGCTTAAATTGATTTGGATGTAACCAAGGACGCCGACTTTGCAAAAATTATTTTTTAAAAGAATTATGACTTCACCTTCTTACTCTCCCTCTCCTTTTTAAGAAATGTCGTCCTGCCCCTCTAATATTGACTTCCCGAGGAAACGACATCGGGAAGGCGAGCTGTATCCGGGACGACCGTGACGTGACGAGGAAGCAAGGAAGAGCTGCTCCGGGATAAACTGTCCTTCTACATAAAGCATCGAGAGTTTCGTGCACAAGCCTAGGTGATACTCTATCCCCCCCAAGACACGCACGGACCCACAGCTCATCAGCTGCAGCAGACAAAGGGAAGCTTAACGATCGCCAGGATGAAACATGTCGATCCTGCGAGGAGACGAGAAGCTCCCAATATCATGACTCGATTTACGCTAACCAGCTCTACTTGTGAAAGGAATCCGCGAACGAGAGTTACAAGACAGTCACGGGTATTAGAAGGGACAGCTAGCATGGGATAGACGATCGTGATTATTAGGTCTTCGATGGAGGAAGACGGAAAGAGAAGCAGAAAGGGAAGAGAAGTTTCCTCTGGTAAGTAGTCCATCTAATTGAGCACAGCCTCGACTCAGTCGATAGGCTTACCCTACCCCAATACCCCGCACACCCTTATAAACTCTTTCCCTTCTCTATTGACCCAGGGCAAAGTTCCCGGGAAAAACATCCCATTAAAGCATCCCCTTTCCCTGCTCACAAATCGAGGAACGGCATGTATCCGTACACCTACCCACCAGGGGGGATGGCGTTCGCAACAACCGACAATCCCGTCTATCAATGAGATCATGAGATCAGATCCGATGATCCCATCAGCCAATGGGGACATGGGATCGGGACCCGATTTCCAATCTTTCGAAGGAATCGGAGGGGGGAAGGAAAATCTCTCTATCCAAAGCCAGCTCCAATTCAATTTGAATCTGAAAGCCCTTAGGTGTTTGCATTCCACAGATTGCTTCCGACGTTTCAGTCGAAGAGCCTTACAGGAAGAATTTGCAATGAAGCTGTCAAGTCTCCCTGAGATTGGGACAGACGAAATTACTTCTGGTGAGCGAGAGGTAGATCAATACCACACTAGATACTGGGAAGATCTCATCACAAGCCGTGAAGCCAGCGTGTTGCCAGGTGCTACCGATATATGGTAATTAAATTTCCATTTTCGCTCTGCATGAAAATTCGAACCAATGGATGCGTTTTCTCCCTCACGAATGCCCATGGGTTTGCCTATAATCCTATCCCTCTCGGGAGCCTTCAAGTTGATGCTGTGATGCAAGAAAAATTAAAAGGAACTTTTCCGTGTCAGATTTCAGGCCCGCCCAAGTCCATTGTCTGTGACCATTTCATAGACATTTCTTCTCACAACAAATGACAGTGAAAGCGAACACTAAAAGCATCTCGTGGAATGAAGTCGGTGAACTTTCAATACAGCGTACTATTATACGACGACCTTGGCGGAACAGACGAAGAGAAGGAAAGTTGTCGGTTTGGCGAGGGAGGGATTTCTTTTAATATAGCAGGCCTCAAGGCGCAGGAATAAGGCAAGGGATCGGATAATATATGCGCCTGGCCGAGGTCTCTCGATCTGAATTCAATTTGTCTTCCTTCATGCCTTACCCGCCCACTTCCCCCCTGCCTCGAGTTCTACATAGGGATTATAAGCATACAGAATATTCCGTCTATACTGGGTATTCTCTTCGAAAATGACAATCGTAAAATCTGGAAATCCACTCACACAAATTGCACGTCTCTGGACGGTACATTTGGGAGAAATGATTCCACTATCTACACTCCATCACAAGTACCCATCGTGGTCGCATGGACCGTATCTCCGCACAAAGAGTTTTTTGCGATTTTCTCTCATAGGGCAGAGCTGGAAAGCTCAACGGGAACGTCATCCGTCTTGGTCGAACTAAGGAAAAGGGGAAGCGAGGAGAGAAAAAGCCCTAAGAAAATCTCCCGTCTCGTCTCAAGGGGAGGAGAAGGATTTTCAAAGACCTTCGAAGGCTTCCTTTTTAGTGTCTCTTCTTCCGAAAAGAATGAAAGTGAAAGAAGGGAAAAGCTTTTCGCCACTCCAGACGTCCAAATGCCTTTAAATTTCTGTCCCCATAAACGAATCCCAGGAGCGATGAGTCGGAAACAGGAGGAAGGAAAAAAAAGTACCGATTGTCTCTGATTCCGACAGCCCATGTGGCAAGGCTCCAAGTATTCAGACTGATCTTCTCTTCCACTCTACACATACAGAGGGTGGGTGGATGGCTTAGAGCAGAGTCTACACTGGGTCAAGGCAGGGGGGAAGAGTGTGGGGTCGCCTTCATTAGAAAAATATGCCTTCCCTTTCGTCATCCTCACTTCTAGACGCACTCCGCCGTCCGTCCTCCTTCCATCCTCCTCCCATCACAGCGGGTGAACGCTGAGAACATTTAATCTTGTTTTCTCAGAACGAATGAACACGGATTACCCGGATCATCTATGAGCACCTCGTTCGTATGATCGCGGCTTTCATCTCATATTAACAGTAGTAATGTATATAACATGAGATACTTGAGACGGAATAGAATCCATCATTCATGTTGGCGACCTTCGCTTGTCTACCTACTCGTGGCCAGAGATGGGACGTCGACCGGTCAGCATGGTCATTTATGGGTGTATTATTGGTTTCATGGTTTGGGATGCAGCATCGCTTCAGTATCGATTCTGACTCGCAAACTGCAGTGACTCGGGATGGAAACTGGTCTTCCGTGTGCGAAGGTGAATGAAATGGTTCAAGGGAATGGATACTTACGGTGTCCAGGGCCACCATGGCCAGGGCCGGGGCCAGGAGAGATGGGTCCGGGTCCAGGACCATACCCGCCTGGACCGGACATCCCACGGGATGGGGGCTCTTGGAGGAGGACCTTCCGAGGACGCAGCTCCGGTTCTTCCCGCTTCCCTACCAACAGAGAATTCAGGATTGAATATTTATGTGACGGAAGTCAGCTGAGGTAGAAACACATACAATTTTTCATATTATTATATATTGGAAAAATAGAGATGACAGAGGCGGAGAAAAAGAAAAATATGAGGGCAACGGATCCTGTTAACGACCGAGAGGAATCGTATCAATATAGGCCAACTCTAGACGCAATGTGGGAGCATTTCTAGCCTCAAATCCTAGCTTATTTCATTCCTGTCATACGCAGTGGAAGTCTCGGAGTTTCGTTAACAGAGTCTTGGTCGAGCAATACCATACTGTTTCACCATCCCTTATCCAGGAACCTCTCCTCCCAAGCAGAGGATATTACTAAACGTGTTTTTTATTTTTATTTTTTGCAACGTCGAATAATTCATAAAACTTGGTAAGCAGGATGGATATTAATGCAACTATACACGCCAGTGACATCTCGCATTGAGATCGGAATCATTCTTCTCCCAATAGGATACGGAGTGCATTAATGCGATCGAAGGGGGAAAAAATAGCGAAGATGAGAAAGAGCTGCGAGAAGGTATTCCTGAAGGATAGCTTCGCTGTGTGACAGTACAAGACAAGGCTTTTCGGGCAAACCCTTGTCCATTAGATGCCATCCTTCCCCATTACTCTGATTATATCCCAGTCTCATTCGCCCTATCTCAAGGGGTCTTGTCTGTCCTGCCTCTGCTGCTCTCCGAGACTGCCATGTTCATTGCCATCACTCCATCTGAACGAATGAGACCACAATCCAGTATATGAAGTCTCTTACTTTAATAATAGGGCAGGATGTTCATTCCCAGCATTCTTTGATAAAGAACTATGGAAATAGAACTTCATGTGAATCACCATTGCACTACCCAACGCACAATTTACGCGGGCCAAAAACTTTCGCTCATTTGTCCCGGGTAACAATACTTACAAGTCCTCGTAAGCTATTTTGTATTATTACATTCTTCTTCTGTTCAGCGGCGAAGGATACTAGGTCAAGTGTGCAACAATAGATTAGGCACCCATTAAGGAATGCGTGGTATGTGTACTAGGAGGTTCATTTACGTTTCCCAAGTCAGAGATCAGACACGGTCGCGTTTCTGCACCAGCACCTGTCTCCGTCCACTGACACCCAGTCACCGAAAGCCCTGGCTTGAGTGACGGAGTCATCTGAGATGAGGAAGGGGAAGGGGAAGAGAAAGGGAGAAAGGGAGAAGAAAGAAGAAAAACCCACGCAAGGACGGCGACTGGGAACAAAAGGGAATGGATAGGAAGGTTTCAGGAAGGCGTCTATGCAAAGACATCGAAGCAAGAAAAGGATCCATCCGTGGTATCAACTTAATCAAGATTGATTTCTTCAGCCTGCCACACTACACACCCTCCTCTCTCTATCACATGCAAGGCCGAAGTAGTTCCCTCCATGACTCAGGAAATTCCACCCCTGGCACCACCAGATGCTGACGAGAAGAAATTGTCCCCTCACTCGGCATTCATTACAGAAAAGCAGCTTCTTTTACCGACTAACCAAGGTACGAGAATGGGAGAAAAGGAAGCAACAGGAGGCGTTGCTGGCCATTCATCTTCCCACATGGAGCCCAGACCACAGACGTTCAGAATTCGCCTGTTTAATTCATGTACAACACACGTTTGCGCAAGCGGATGTTGTACGTTGTACACCTTCTCCTCTTCCTGAGCCCACAACATGGGAGTATCACCATCAAATATTGACTCCCTTCCTTCCTTCCTTTAAAAATGAAGGCCCATTCATTACTTCCTCCTCTTCCTCAAAGAAACGTCTCAATTTCTTATGCAACGATTCCGAGAGAAAGTTTGATATCTTTCTGCCTGCGTAGTTTTCCAATTCCCTGACAGAAAGCCCATCTCTGGGATGAGAAGAAATAGTTTAGACTCCAGGGAAGGGGGAATCGCAGGTGCGTCTCGTGCTGAGATACACCGAGATGACACAAGGAAAAGGCGAGACGGATAGTCATGGCTCGAGTCTGCATGACGCACCCAAAACGCCACGGGGAACCGCACGCACGTTTGCAACTTTGACTTTCTTTTTTTTTTTTGCAACTACAATTCAATCGGCTTTCACATTCTAGGCACATGAAGAATCATCGAGATCGAGGCCAAGATCTGGCAAATAAGTCATCTTCACGCCTTTGAATGGTACTAGGTGAGTACCCTCGTTAGTGAGAAAAAACTATGTCTTTGCGAACGAAGGGAACATGGAAGAAACATTCTTGATGGAGTTCCAAGTTTCTCAATAGGTGCCTCTTGTCAATGAGGCTCGAGTCGGACCAAGGGGAGAGACGAGAATGCATCTCTCATCGCCAGACGCAGACAACGACCGGCTTCTGTGCTTCTCATCATCAATTTTTCCACGGTTTGCAGACGCACTTTATAAATGAAGTGAGGAGAGGAGACTGTCTCTGCTGAGGGCTTAGGGCTCCACTGATTGGAAGCAGAGAAGCCTATCAAAGATTGTCATCTACGAAGGCAATACTCGCGCAGCTTTCTCCAAATAGAATCTGCGGTCTTGCCAGTTTTTATGGGCCTACTCCGAACAAGGAGTGCGAAATATTCGCCCTTTTTGATGATCCAATAGAGAGGTCATAAAAATTTTATGACCTCATAGGGGTTGGCAAGGAATGGGGTAATTTCTGAAACCCCCGGATCACTCTCGATTCACCGACCCTCCCATGATAGAAGTTTCGGCTATTCGGATAATCCATACAGGAGATATCACGGGGGGTTCAGAGCCATCCCGAGCTGCTGGATGGAGCCTGAAATGAGGCTCTGACAGTGGGCATAAAATCTTCAATGTGTGCGGGGATGAAACGGGATAACATGGTATTTGCATTCCCATAACTTTCGACTGCATAAACGATGCATGATATCTGGATTTGTTCCGCGTCATTACCTTGAAACGGAAACTTGGGTTCATTTCGGCGGGATTCAAGGCGGAAGGAGAATTCACCCTCAAGCATAGTGCCTCCACTGAAGATAACCAGAAAAAATCGCGGAATTAGATTCATGATTTATGGATCTCGTTGGAACGTGGCATGAATGACCTAGACTCGCTAGACGGAAAACATTAACAAAGACCTCTCAGAGTGGACCATAATTGCGGGGAATGTCGAGTGGACGGGAAGTGCGAAGGAATGTCAAAAGAAGGCCTTGTCACAGATGACGAAATCTCCACACCAGGCTGCCAAGGTCAAGGCAGGGAAAGAGTAAAAAATAGCCTGCTATGACCTGCATTGCATACTTTTCCCGCCTCTGCAAAGCCTGTCATACAAACGTTGTCATTTCGCCACTTTGTCTCCTGTCTCCCATCTAGGCCGGCTTCTTTGAAAGAACCTTTGGCAACGAGCCAATCATGAAGGCAACTGAAGCGGCTGGGGCGAAGACGAGGAGATACATCAGACGAGGGGAGAACCGATCTCATACCTGAAAAAAAAAGGGTACTTGCCGGTCCTTTCCCCCCTGAGTCACCCGAGGGGGAAGTCTTCTCGTGACTTGAAACTTTCACATGCGAAAGCTCACGTACGACTATATGCATCCAATAAACCGCCTCCGGATGAAATGTAAAAAGAAAACTATAAGAGAGCCGACGCGATTGAACCAGTTATATGCCCTCATGACGGCACGGAAGCAGCCCCAGTTACGTGCTTCTTCGGTGCATAGAAGCAGACTTTCTGCGAGGATGTGAAATGCTCCTCCTCCATCCAGTTCTCTCCCATGAGTTAAGCACCCTCGTGATGCCTCTCTATCTCCATCCCCATGTCAATCCCAAGTGTAATTTATTCTCAAAATGGGATCTCTCGTCACGTAGCTCATCTTCAGTGCTGAATAGCACTGTTCTCTCGATGGCAGACGCAGCCGCAGGATGAATTCCTGAACTGCATTATTCAGCCATGGACCGCACAAGTTCCAGTTCGTGGGGAGAATAGGGAACAACACGGAGTGGCTTCAGACATAACTGGATTTTCCCTGCACTCTCCTCAACAAATAGCATAAGGAAGGCGACGACGAGCCACGTAAAAAAATAATGGAGGAAAGTGAGGGCAGGAGAAACTAAATCCAATTTCCGACCTTTCCCAATTTTCCCACTTCAGTCTTGAGTGGTCTACTCATCTTCCCGGGAGAGTGCTACAGATCCCCTGCATTACCGTCGAGAAAACGTTCAAGCAAAAAAACTGGGCTGTGTAGCTGAAGTAAGTCGATGCGAACGGAGGATTTCTTTCAGCAAAAGCACCAACTGGCAACGACATAACGACCAAAAAGAACAGTCTTGGCACTTGGAAGAAGTTGATAAGTTAGAGTCGCCTTGAAAGAGATTGTAGGAGTATGACAGAGGACGCAAGGGCTGGTTGCTGTAATCGCAATTACCAGTTTGGGACACTATTCTGGATAAGCATACACAGTGTGCTTATAGAAAACGAAAGGCTTAAGACTTTTAAGCCGCATATCTCTGCTCTTACCGAGGCTGTGTGCATGCCATTTTCACTTTGCATAGACTGATCAGGTTTCAAACAGACTTCGAAATTTCACTTAACACCGCCAAAGTAAGGCGATTAAGAGAAACAATTGAAAATGAGCAGGAGACTTCAGTCCTTTAAGAGTGACAATTGAATGAGTTAAGTCAGCTTGCCTCTTCCTCCAACGTAGGGAAGGGAAAATATGGAGAATCTTGGAAGAAACTCTGCGAAATGACTCACCAGGTAATTGGGAAAATGTTTTTAGTGTCAGCATGGTCTTCTGTCCATTAGCGCTATCTAACTTCTTTCGAATTATAGATCAAAACTTTGCCTAGGCGCAATTAATAGGTAATGCAATTAAAAACGCCTGTCGCAAACATACAGACCCGTACAAAGCACAAGTTTCTTGAAAACAGCTGCAGAAGAGCAGAGATTTATGGATAAAAGGTACAGTCCTTTTACCATACCCTGTATACAAAGGGAATGTTTTGGGAGGCCACGAGTGGGTGTGAGAGAGGGAAAGAAATGTGTGGCAATGCAATGGGGTCGCAGCAGGGAAACTCAATGACAGCACTGCTCTTTCCCTTCAATCTTGAATTGTACATCCCCTCCCACCGAGTCGATTCCTGTAATCTCCATTTCCCTAAACATAGAACTCCGCCCTATGGGAGAAAGGTTTTCCCACCTTGACCTGTGAGTCGACCTTTCCGTTTTTTACAGCGAGAATGATTCTTCCGATGGAATTGTTCCACCCACTCGCCTTCATCTACCAGTCGTATATATAAGAGAGGATATAACTTCATCGAGGAACTTCCCTCTACAGCTTTTGATCCGCTCTGCATGGGTGGACAGCCCTGACAAATGACCCCTTTTGTCTCTTTTTCCCTGAAGGATCCTCCAGGGACACGTGAATATAGACTACTGACGCTCTTCGTTTAGAGATCCGCCCTCACTTCACCTAGATATAAGAATTAATGGCGATGGAAAGCTCATGGGAGGCATAACGGAATTCTCTGAATCTTTCCTCCCCCGTTTATTTTCCGCATTTATTAAAAGAGTAAACCCTTACAGTTCTCTCCCTGTGGCTGCTTGTTTGACAATTACGTACTTCTGCAATTCGTAAACAACTGAGAACGCACAGGACATTTGCCATGCGGACACACACGGCCATCTAAGGGCAGGAATTCCGTAAAGGTAATTTTATCCCAAAACAAAACCTGCCATTGTCATGGCAGCGCTGCCATGAAAAGATGCGATGTCGCGCCAAGCTTCTTCCTCTTCCTGCCACTACAATATTAATGTACCCATTTACAAGGAGAATGCATCAATGACAAAAACTCTTAATAGTCTTAATAAAAACTCATAGATCTAAAGATGGTCTTCAAAGGGGAAAGGAGATAGCTTCCATAGTATATGGATGCCATACTCCGTCCCCTATCTCGACAAAAGCTATCTGCCAATTCTTCCATGGACTTTCACAATTTGCTACTTCCTTCGGCAAGAAGAAATTGGTAGGCCAGTCATAATCCGAGCAATCGCTTAAAGTGGCCCAATGCTGGTTTGAGGATAGTGAAACCTTTGGATTCCACTTATTAATTAGATATTCTATTCACGGCTTCCTCGTGAGAATATCGACAACTGCTATCAGTCTATCCTACTACATTATTTAGGAGGTCGTGATCTCCTTTGCATTGTTTTCACGAGAAAGAGAACACCTGCTTCGTATCTAATGGGATCCCATTATCGGGGGTGCATCTCTATCGCCTTTCTTGAAAAGTGATTCATGTCCCTGGTTCACCCTTCCAAAGGACAGAGAGACCAATAGATCAAGTCCCTTGCCAGGTCCGGATTCAGATAATTATTCATATAGATCCGACAGGGAGCTCTCCTTTTTCTCCACTAGGTTACATATAAGGCACAAAGATAGAGCCCTCAAGACAGCTCGCTCTTCCTCGGTAATCTCATTCCCGTGGTTCGATCCAATGAACACTACTCAACTTCAGCGTCAAAGTCCTCCTCCTTCTTGAAGATATTACGGTCGAACTCGGTTACAACGGTCTCCTTCCAACTATGAATATCTGGTCCCGGCCTAGAGCCAAGTCCATATGATGAATTTATACCTCGCCTATAACGAGCTCGAGTATTGCGAGGAACTCAATTAAAGCTAAGTCAATTTTGTCCTACTGACAAACTTCGCAACGAGCTCTCCTCCTTAACTGGAATTTACATCTTGGGAACGAACACCCATTGGCAATCCATAACTTTCTCTTTTCTAGAATCTGCATTCCAGGAGAATTCTCGTACGTGTGCATATGCGTGACTGTAGAGGGCTAACCCTAATCACTAAGAGATCTAAATCCCTATCTTCAGCTGCTTTTCATAGTTCGAGCAGAAAACCTGGTTGGAGGAAAACGAGGGCAAGCCTCCACGATAGAACAGAAAGTGGACATAATTAATTTCATCAAAAAGGGACGAAGGAAAGCAATCGTGAACATGGATTGGAAAAATGCTGTCTCGTTTACAAGGAACATCACCTAATGAAGACGATTTTGTCCCTGATCCCTTCACTGACGTAATAAACGAGTTCGCCTGTATAAACGTTTCCTGGAGAAGAAACGTTTCATCTCGTCGTTTCGAAAGGCTCCATCAAATCTCCAGTAACGCAGTCGGGTTGTATCGGTCTTACAACGCGTACCATTGCATATATCACGAACGGTTTGAAGACGTGACGTATCCCACAGATCAACTTTGATGCGAGAAGATGCAGCCAGCAGGTTCTATTCAAGCGGTTGAGACCCGTCATGCACGGCAAGCACCTATTCCCCGCATCCGGTCCAATTGATTTCGATCAAGCATGCCGTCCACGGCTATGAGGACATTTTGGGCGGGAATAATGGAACATCCTCTGGAGAGCGTCACGTTCCCTCTTATTTCCTTCATTCAACGGAAAGAATGGCTGCGTAAAAGGCCGCACGTGGAAGATATGGCGTTCCGCTTAAAGACGGCACTGGAACAGTTGCAGAGAGATGTTTTCTCCTTGCCACGGATGAACGGAGGCTCAAGTGCCGACTCGAGTGAGCATAATTGTTTCTTCTTTTTTTCCCTCCCTTTCACTGAATTCCGCTCTCAAGATATAACGTTGCGTCAAGGTTGAAAAAAAAAAAGACTATGAAATAGGAGAGCAAAGAGGAGGTGGACAGGCAAGGAATGTCGCAAGCAGAAAACCAAGATGAGGAGGAAGATAATGGGCAGTTAGGAACGGCTGGAATCCATCATGCATGGAGGAAGAGGTCGAGCTCGAGACCCTGATCCCAGACAACGTAACGCCAGTACACCTCAATTCCACTATAATGCACGTGAATCCATAGGGAAAGGGCGAAAACGAGCAGACGGAAGTCTCAGGAGGTACACAAGGCAGAACTAGTGCTCACTGCCAAGAAAGAGCATTCGATTCGGACATTGCTCCCCCAAAAGGGCATTATTTCGCTCTCGTCCCAGAGCCTCTCATGAGTTATTCATGGGATCTCTATGGGATGGGACGTCTCCATGCGATTGCCAAAGACGCCTCAGCGAACCTACGTCTCTCCTTTTGTCCCTACTAATCGGGAGGTCCGGCTGTAATTCAAGGGACCATTGGCATGGATGAGATAAGATCCAAGCCCAGAAGCACTGTACTGCTTCCTTCACCCTGACAGACACGGATTATTCTCTTTTATCCCTGCCAATAATACAAGGTCGTCCCCTTACTCAATAGTTCCGGTTGTTCCTAGGACCATTTCTCTGTCGCGGTTTTGGAGAAACCCACTGGAATGAGAGACACACTAGCTAATTTGCAGGGGATATGGTAATACTCCCTAGGTGCCTGTCAACTTCGGGAGGCAGAAGATGGAGTGGGGCCAAGCAAGAGCAATGATGCTTTGCAGGCTGAAAGAATGAATATCACGGCGGAGGCACCTGCGACACCATTAGCGACTCACTGTCACTTCCGCCAACAATAACATCGAGACAGAATCAACACTTCTCCATAGTTGACAGGGGAAATGCCAACATTCCGTCATCTCCATTTTTCATGACTTGTCTTCCCCTTTCAGCTGTTCTCCCGTGTCACGACTACGAAAAATTCGACGAGAAAACGTTGTTTCACAACTCAGGGCAAACAGGACGGGAAAAGAGTCATGACACCATGAATGGAGAGAAAAGTTTCTGCGTCGAGGGCTCCTCAAAGGGGAGACGGAGCTTTAGTTACGACTTGAATGAAAGTCTATCAGGCGCTAGTCAGAAGATATGAGATTTTTAAAATGGAGAGACTTTCAATCTACTTCCGTCAAGCCCAGGGCAGGGAGGAGATTCATATCGCGAAGGAGAGAAAGAAGGGGGAAAAGCTTCTCAATACATGAATTGGCAAAGCTTAATATGAAAGGCCGACGTCTTTCGTGTTTCCTTTCACTTCGTTCTCTGACCAGCAGGCAAAAGCCAGTTCGACTACTTGAAACCGTGATGCAATCGATGAAAGATTCATTAACTCACTCACCTAGGTTGGGGTTGGTGTAATCCCAGCTCTCTGAGTCGTTTTTGTACACGTTCAACTTGCTGGGCTGCAAAACAAGATAGTAACGGAACAAAGGTTTAATGAGGCTAAAAAACCGGTCGGATTTTCATCATATTCTATATCTCAATCCAGTTTTCTTGATAGCCGAATCCTGAGAAACGGCTAAAGCCTTTCTTTTCACCTAGACAGTCCCAGCACTAATGAATTTCTTCTTCATTCCCTCCCGCTCGTTCTCCAGTTCCTGCAGGACTACTTTAGCACCAGCTGACGTAGGGTGCAAGACAAAAAATACTCCGATTCGAAAAAGAAATCGATCCGCTTCTCCTAACTTATAAAGGACGACTAAGCGAAGGCTTTTATCCTCTGCTTCATAGGCATTTCCATCACCCACTCCTGAAATTAGTTTGGCATCTCAAGGTGTGGCTGCTTATTACGGTACATATTGCGAAAATTAATGAACGGGGCATATATGAGACGCCATGAAAGGGCCGGGGTAACGAGGTAGGTCCTGATCCCTTTTAAACGAGCTCATATTACCTTTCTCCTCTGAAGTTTCTAGAATCTCTTGCGTCATATCCAGTTATTAAGGATACAGCTCATAATTATTCAGTGTATCAAGGTACTGAACTAGTTTAGGCACGGGACAGGACCGGTCCTAGAGGTTCGGAATGTGATTTTATCAGCTGTGCAATTCAAGGCAACACGATTGACATGCCACACTAATAACGAGTTATTACTTTCCAGACACAAAAAAGGCGAAAAAAGAAAGAAAAGATGCTTACTTTGGCGTATTCGATGCGGAGGGTGCAGCAGCCTGAGTAAATATCTGCTCCGTTTAGGCCTTCTTTGGCTCGGCTAGCAGTCTCCACGCTGTCGAACGTATGGACTGGGAATTAAGGAAAACAGAGCACAAAAAATAATGGAATGGGATGCAAGCTTGCACCCAAGGGGGTTCGTTAGGCAGTCAATGAATAGCATTTGCGGCTTGCGGGCTCCCAAGGGCATCGTAACTTGGCGTGTGCTTGCACTTCATGATGCAAATGAACCACCATCTTCCCTCAGCGGTTTACCACGAGAAATGGAGAAATATTACGCCCTCCATCATTGAATGGAGGAGAAGAGAACAATTATCCGGTCATTCCATTTTGCAAATATACGAGATCAGTGGGTATTGATTTAGAGGAGGATGGCATGTTTTCATTGACATTTTTGGAGAACACCCACATGATGAACGGTTAGCCTCAGGGCGTTGTCCCACCCTCTCTCACGACCCCGGCTTTAATGACAAAAAAACCTTAAAAATCCCAACCAGCTGAAACAAGTGATGACTCGAGACAGTTTGCTTCCTATCATTTATTATCTCTTCCAAAGCGCGTGCCTGATCGATCTTTCCCCCTCCACCAACCTTCCATTAATTCCCAAGACCTCACTCTCAACAGCAGTTATTTCGAGTGTTGAAAAATGGGATTTCGCAACAAGCGCAAGTTCACGAAAATCATCAGACAAGAAATGAGATCCTGTCGAGTCCATACGTGCCTTAGGTGCATTACCATACAACTGAGCAGAAAGCTAGAGCATAGGCTTAAGACCGAGGATGTTTGTATAGATTGGGGGAGGTCACCAATCTTCTTTGCTCTCCTCCTCTAGTTAAGCCATGTCGATCCCACCGTCGAAGGAGATTCGAAACTAATATCTCGCTCATTTCCTCCGCTGCTGCTGCGAGAGAAGTTGCCTACCCAACAGGGGAATCCATGGGCTCATTAATCTAAGGATTCCCCCCCTCGATTTCCCCCTTCTACCACCATTCATCATCAGTCGACTCTTCCTCAGGAATACCTGGTTGGCTTCTTTCCCCGTTTCTTTTCAAAGTAACCTTTACCCATAACGATGTACGCCGGTTCTGAATTCCTCGTCCGGGTTTAGGATTTGGATATGTTCCAGATCATCATGGCCGCGAGAAGGAAAATCCATTACTGGCTATGCACATGTCATGCCATCTTCATCACTCATCCTATGCGGACACCCACTAACTGTCCATGCCCATTCTAGCCGAGCATAAAACTCGGAAGAGCGAGAAAAGGATATTCGACCATAGCTTGGACGCCATTCTTCTTGAAGATCACGATCCGGAGAACCTGTCCGTATGAGTTGGAGATGGTGTGGATGACATCCTGTAAACACAAGAGAAACCAAGACCCAACGCTAATGAATATTCAGAGGCAATCACCTAAAGAAAATCCAGACAGCAAAACGCGAAGGCACTAGAAGCTTTAACGAGAATGCAAGAATTCATTTTCAGTGGGTCGATAAGTGATCCTTCTTCGTACTTCAAGATAAGGAATGAAACCGTATTTCGCCCTTGCCACGCGTTTCTTTCGTCCCACCCCCGTGACATAACCAGTTCCCACTGCGCCATTCTCAGAGTGTGGGTAGTCCTTCACCGCAGACACGTGGCTATGACTAGCGACGGCGAGAGGAGACATATAGGTCCCAATATGGGAGATGAATAATTAGATCTCACCTGGCCTCGACCTTCGACCTTGTGGAGGTTCACCTTGCTGCCGACGACGGCGTTCTGACTCATCTGCACCCACTCTCATATCCGCATCATTAGGACCTACCCACGCTCAAAAGAAACCTTCCCTCATTGTCTCTCATCCAATTGCGTCCTGATTCCAACCCGCGAGATCAAGAAGGACGTACAGTAACACCGAGCAAAACAGCTATTTTGGCCCAGACAATGGATTTACGGGGCACCTAACCTGACGCGACAACGTAGGCACGGACCGTGAGTCCGGAATTTGGCTCGAGAGTCATAAATTCGTTCTCTGGGGAGAACCCGCCAACAGGCGCTGAAAAATTACACTATGTGTCTTAACCTCGGTCATGAAGTCAACATTCTCAACAGTTTCATCCATTAATTTACGGAGGAAAAACAGGAAAAGACAAAGCGAATACGCACAAAGAGGAAGACAGGCAACAGAGATCAAGATCAAAGAATGAGAAAGGGATGAAGAAAAAAGAAAAGGGGGTGAAAGGTGAGAATTCCACGTTGGCGGGGAGCCCAGTGGGGTACCACCTTGTTAAAACGTCGCCACGAATGCGAGAAAGCATGCACGGATAGAATCTCTCGGGTGGCGCAAAAATCTCAGAAAGAAAGAAAAGTACGGGTGAGAACTTCCCAAGTCCAATGCGAAAACATTTGCTGTCATGTTCGTGGGAGGTGCAATAAACAGGAGCAGATAACTCTGTATTCATGAGTTGTGTATTCTCTTTTTCATAACTCTATCTGTATCTCATATGTTGTGGGAATCGGAAGATGGACACGTACCGTGGTGATGGGATATGCAGGATTGACTATTGTCATCAGCAGTATGTGGTTTTCCCGGTGTTCCTCGTCCACTCTGCAGAAACAGGTATATAAGGATCTCTGTATAGCCTGGAAGGTGTCACATTTATCATTCACAGTAGCAATGTTTGTGACTGCAGGAAGTGTGATTGCATAGAGAGCATATGTAGGCCTAAACTGTGGTGAATGGAGTGAGGAACAATGTCAAGTTAGATCTGACCCTTGGCGCTGTCAGCGTGTGCATGTCCGGAGAGGGGAGTATACTGTCATAGTGCATATCACGAAATAAGCCCGAGGACAAGACAAGCAAGCCTCAACTTCTGTTTCATCTCTAATTCCTATCCGTCTCCAACTTTCCTTTTCCCCATCAGGTCTCTTACATAGAGAGCCTACTCACCTCATCTTTTTCCGAGGAGATTGGTCATCGTAGCCATCGCCATAACCATCCCCGTAGTTGTTCATTCGACGATCCATCGACTGGAAAGAGAAGGAAAACACTGGTATTGGCATTCCAAACGTCTCAATTCGCTGAGGTTATTTAAAAACTATTGCTGTCTTTGAAATGCCTTTAACACAGTGGGACTCATTCACTTCAGCAATTGCCTTCGGACCACGGAGAAATGAATTAACGTTGAAGCTCTGAACGGTAACATCCTGCACGTTTTCCACGTGACGTCTGAATGAACGATTACGTGACGTTGGAGAAAATTCGGTCTTGCATTATACAGGACACATAAGGAATTAATTTCTTCGTTTTTCCATTTCCTCGCAGAGGGGGAGGGGAAAAAAGCGGCAAACCAAATAACGAACCTCTTGGCCCTTGGAGGAGGGTGGAGAGGCGACAGCAGTCTGCGCCATCTCTGGGACTTTCATAGATGAACACTATCGATTCCCACACGCAACAAACCACTCTATCAACAAATCTACCAATCTCTCTCTCTCTTTGTCATCGGTGGAGACGAGCACGCCTGTACAAAGGCAGAGAAACGAAGAGATGATTAGATTAGTAGACTACTCTGCGGTCGGACGGGCAAGATACGAACTTCCTCAACTGTATCTAATAGAATTACCCAAGACCTGTCCGCGCAATAAAAGTTCTCCTTGAATCACATCAATTCCACTCGAGGAACAGTTGCCGCTAACGACTCACACTCCACATTCAATGGCGTTCCTGATGAATGGAAGACTGGGAGTTACGAAACGACACGTGTTATGCAGGAAGAGACGTTATCGAGGAAATTGCTGCCTCCAGCCCCGGAGAAAAGATAACGCCGAGTCATCCGAGAGAGCTGCAAAGGTTAGCACAACTGGCTCACGTTATCTCCCCGATTCAGCTCAGACTCGAAATGATCGTATTACTTGGGTGGTGCACCTGGGCGGTAACAAGTAACTTCAAAAGAGGCCACAATTTCCATATGGGAGGTCATTTGATCCTTCGAAGGCAGTTGTTTATCCGGAAAACACGAACGAGAGCGTCACGTCATTTGACATACCGAGAAAAAGTAACACGAACTAAGAGGAAGGAAAAGAAAAAAAAAAACGATTCGCATATAAATGAAAGTGAAAGAACTGGGCTAGACAAGGATGAGCTTAGCAGGAGGGCCACGCACCGCGGGCCGAGTGAGAGTGATAATCACGCCCACGTTTCAACTCGTCCACTAGATTTCCAGGACAAGATGTCCAATAACTGAACACTGAAAGAAAGCGAGGGACATGACGAGCATCTCAATGAAATTCATGGGGAAACCCTCTTAATGATTCACGCCCAGGAAACGAACTCAAAATTGCCTTTTTCTAATCTTATCAGCGCTGCTCGATCTGTCAGAATTGCCACGCGATTGGAAGTAATTCTACTCAAGAACCGACCAATAAATCCAATTCCCCATACAAAACCGAGAAACCCAATTCTCCTTGAAGAAACCCTACGTAATAAAGAGATTAAGAAATAAAAAAAAAGGGGGGGGGGGGGGGCTGAAGGTAAGAGACGGATAGCGGAGAAAAGGAGGGGGGGGGGGGGGGGGGGGGGGGGGGGGGGGGGGGGGGGAGCTGAAGGTAAGAGACGGATAGCTGAGAAATGGGGACCGGGAATGTCGTCCTTGCGTGCCGATCGCTGAAGGATTGAGATCAACCGTGACTCCATAAGGGGTTTCCGAACTCACGTACTTTTGATACAGCTGAATGAACGTCTGCAACGTCTTCACCCTTCCATACCATAGGTTCGTATCCTGTATTTCTTTCTAGTCTACTGACCTCCACCATGCGAGATGAAGGGCCTGATAGGACGCTCTTTCCCCCGCCAACGCCCACTCTCCTCTCCCACAACCTCGCTACACCCAAGTCATCTTCTACAGTTCGCATGATGACACTTAGCATACCCGTTCTCGCTCACCCATGCATGTAAGCTATATGCATATTAATTCAACATCGACGAAGAAAGAGTGCCTATAGAACAGTATTTCCGATGCATCATACAAAAAAGATACGGAGCTTCGCACCTGCACAAGTGTGCACAACCACTTATCACAAATACTCCCAATATCGAATGATAGCGAAATGCCTCCCAATCCGACAATCACGACATCCACCATCTATGGGGAATTCGTTAATCAAGTTACACAGAAATAAATGGGAAGTCGTCCATCAGGATCACCAGTACAAGTGTGACGCTCTTCACAAGGAAATGAGGACTCATCCCTCGAGATAAGCATAACTTCAAGGATACAACGAAGGCTATATCGCAAACTATGAATCGCTCCTATATCAAGATCCGATGCAGCACAGCACTGGAAAGCACACATCTGAGCGAGAGAGATACTAAGCACAGCCTGTACGCACGATCAGTGCCTGCCGAGGGACTGAGCTGAGGAGCGCGAGTGTGCGCTATATACTACTCGGCCTCCTCCTTCCTCCAGCAGGTGGGGCAAGAAATTTCTATAGCCATGACCAGTTCTAATAGCATCTAGCATGTCTCCAGCACATTACCATGCACGGCTGCGTGTCTTTTTTTCTCCTCCATTTCCATACGTTGAGTCTTTGATATCCTGGAAATAGGGTAGGGACACGAAAACCATAAGCAATCAAGGGAAATGAGGCCGTGGAGAAACGACTTTTTAATGTTGCTAATTTTCCGGGTGGTCCAACGACGGAATGTACGAAGTGCATCTTGAAGGTCAAACTCAGCTGCGAACTTCTGCAAACTTCATCTGCGGGTTTCCCGTTAATTATCATGGCCTATGTGTCCTGAACAATCGCCTCAGAAATAGTTGCAATATGAAAATATCGCCATATAATATCGCAATATTTAAATGAATCACCGGTAGCTCTTTATCCATTTTCTGCTCACTGAACTCTATGCCTTCTTTCTACGTTTCCTTTGTATCCTCCCTGATCAATATGCAAAAGAGCTATGTGGTGAGCGCCTCAAGGGGCCATAGGCATGATGCATATGAATGAAAGTGAACTTTTTGGCACGGCAACAAGTCACGAAGCATATACGGTAAATCCCCGCTGGAAAGTGACAGCATAAAAAGCTAATGAGGAAGTATGTCTCTTGCCGACTTCACCCAATATTCAGTAGTTTCTATTCAAGAATTAAACATTTGGAATTACTCTATTTTCATGAATTCTACATGCCGAATTTGGAAAAATCTATCTAAAAAGAAATTTGCCTTTCAATGATGACGGAGAGTCGGGTCGGGGGTACGGCCATTCATAACCATTCATCCTCCTATATTGACTAAATCCGATACTTCAGTCAACATAGTGGGGGCCACAAGACACGTCAGTCTACATAGGTGTGAAGTCATGCTGAATTTATGGCAGGTCTATTGTACGGCAGGTATTCCGGTTGTCTAGCGATGCACACAACCTATGGATGAGTGCTCTTCAGAAACTGCATTATACAAATGGAAGTGGAACCAAAACCGTCTAATGGGCATCCCAGAGACAATCTATCACCTCTCATCGAGTATCCATGTTAAAAATCATGACTGGACACATACTAATACTTTCATTTTCTCCCAAGCATTAGCCTCATTAGCATGCACCCCTGGAGATATTAAGACATTTTTTCACATTTAGGTCAAGGGGAAAGTAAGCTATCTGCAAATTCCAATATGCTTCTTGGCCTAGTCTGATCCAACATTTTGTCCTTGATCTAATCAAAGTCTATGTTTCCTTCTCTGAGGGGAAAATTATATTCTAATATTTGAGTTCTAGCAGTCAATACAAGTTCATGCATTCCTTCTCCTGCCAGGTTGATCATGTTTTTCATTAATTGTAACTTAGTTTCATTGTGCAAACAGCTGAAAAGAGACTCAATAAAACATTCAATGCATATCACATATATTTTACATGCTGTCTGACTTCTGTAATTGTGCTCCTGCTGCTCTCATTCAACTGGTTGCTGAATCATGCTTTCATTACATGGTCTTCAATTTGGAGGCTCCAGAACCTGAAGCAGGACTGAAAGAATTCAGGATTCATACAATGACTATGCCTGCATGAGTGCTGCTTCACAGGATGATGTGTGATGAATAAAAGAGCACCTTCGATATTAGCAGGTGATACTTCTAATATCATCACATGTGATAGTTCCCTCAAGATGGAATGCTCAATTAAACATCAATGCCAATAACTGCATGATTTATGGATGCATACAGTAATACTGAAGATGGAATAATAAATGAAGGGCAGCATCATACCGATGCAGTTTCTTCTGTCTTTCCTATTTCTATTTGCAATTGTACTATATAATGTTTCAAAATATTCATCTCTAGAGCCAAATTATCAATGACCTTCCAGGGGGTGGGAATGACATGAAATGGACTTTATGAACCCAGGGTTTTTTCATTCTTCAAGGGTCAGATAATTATGAAGACTGGTTGAAATTTATAGTCAGTAAATCTAGTGAAACTTCAGAGATTAGAGGAAAAAAAAAAACTTTTTCACACCTGGAACCAAGTCAAGAAAATGGCACAGGCTTTATTTCTAGACAATTCTTATCAGTTTTCTTCAAACCCACATGTGCTGGGTTCCATAAATTCCTTTCTCTCTCTTTAAATCTTCCTGATCTTTGTGCATACATAATGCTCATGTCTGCAGTTCTCTCCAAAACTCTGAATTCCATGTAGGTCTACGCCTAATTCATCAGATTTTGACACATGAGCCTATCAAGCTATAACCCTCCTTTACTTCAAACCAGGGTGCCAGTTCACCACTTAGTGCCAATTTATTTGAAGAATTTCAATATATGGTAAAGCTTTCTCATGCTTTCTCTTTCTAGGATACTGCAAAATGATAAAATAATATAACATAAAGATAATATAGTTCTAATTCATAAAAGTAGAACTTTTAACATGTTGCACAGATTTTGGAATGAAGCATGGATAAGGCAATAGCATTAATACAGGCTGTGTCAGAAGTCCTGTCCACCTTTTGAATCTTAATGACTTTTGAATGGCAGACTGGATTGAGATCCAGTTTAGACCATTTGGAAGACAAGGAATATCTCCTCTATCTAGAAATAAATTTTCACATTATTTTGACTATAGCTTGCTTTTTCCCCAAAGCAATTAATTAAATTCCCTTTTTGGTTGCTTTAAAAATGCATCCAAACCTGGAAATGTGCTCATGTGCTACAGCAACCTGATTCCAATCCAAAAAAAACTTGAGGAAAATGACCAAGGAATGACTATCTGTAAGCATGTAACATATGGTTAAATTTATTCCAAATGTGGCCAGAATGCAATGAGAACTGCTTGAAAATTCAAGAAAAAATTCACAGGAGAACCTTCAACCATCAGTCAATTGTCCATATCAATTTGAATATTGACACAATGGGAACAATAGAAGACCTGCTCTGCTTTGGAGATCCATGAAATGGTCACGCTGAAGAAAACTTCAACTTGTTCATCAATTGCCTTTAAAGTGCATGTGGCTCATGACAGCAGGGACCATGACTCCTTAGCCTTGGTCAAACTAATGTTGCAGATCTCAAGCTGATAACTTTGTAGTGATGTTCTTGTTTAAAATGAAGTAAAGAGGTATTTTAAAGAGAATTTCCCTGGCTTCCATATGATCTAAGCCACATAGCGATCTGATATCTCAATCATGAGTTATTACTAATCAAAAGGTGGGCAGGAATTTTGACTTGCCCTGTACTTATGCATTAAAACTTTTGCCTTCATAACAGAACAGCAGAAAACATGATAGGCTGCAGCAAGACTTCATACACATTTCTTATTGGAAAAAAGATAACAAATGGAATTGCACTGATTGTCCCCAAAAAAACTTGTCTCCACTTGTCCTCAAAGGCAATTTGGTATGCATATATCATGATCAACCACAATATAAGCAATTTTGACAGCTCATTCCTTTCTGGCCCACTTCATGCCGAGATTTCTTACCCAGTTCTCATGAAAAAAGTTACTTAAATAGGTGCAGAAACTATATCTGTGATATTAATGGGGTAGGTATATTACACAGACAGAAAAATGTCAAAAAGAATACCTAACCCGTTAAACTGGTTTTTTAATTTCTAACCACCTCTGGCAAAGAAAATGCTGCATGTATGGGGTATAGCAAACTGGCCGAAGCAGTTAATACCATGTGCTATATATTCACTACACCAGGCCTAGGCCCAGCAAACGAATCATATGCATAAAATCTAAATGCAAGACATTTATATTAAAGGCCTCCACAGCTCCATCAAAATGGGGGTATTTTGCCATAGAGTGAATATAAGCCTAATTACGGGACTGTGCCTTTGATATGGGGATATTTAAACAATTGTCTGTCCATAGGGCATGCACACTGGAAGGAGGATCACTTCTTACACCTACTACCTACTACCAGTGAGCGTTGGTAGCAAAGCCCAAGGGCTTTTGCCTGTATCAATATTAATTAGTGATCCCTATCACCCCATCACTTTTTTTTTTCATAAAGTGTTTTTCACTTTCATCTGAAATTGTAGTCCTTGACTCCATCACACATGCAATGAGAAGTCATACAAAAGTGCTGGAATAACTGAAAAAAGCATTGCATTCAAGTGAAAAGGACTGCAGGAAGTCTGAAACAGTTTGACTTGAAATAAATTAGAACTGTTACAGGTGCAGGGGTGCAAAGCAAGATGAGATGAGTCATGAGGGATGGGGAATTGTCATTATCATTGCATTGGCAATATCAAATATGGGTCTACTGCACATGGCATCCTTTGGCCAGCATGCTTCTCATTGTACCATGGTAAGCAACTGCTTGATATATACAGGGTATGCCTATGCTAAATGTTTTCAGTACTGATTATATGTAATGATTTCACTTGAAAATCCAAGTGGCTGAAAGCACAGTTCGATACCTAGTAAATGAAGCATTAGAGCCCCCTGTGTACCATACATAAATGGGTGGTCTGAGGCAAGCCCTCCTTAATTTTTTTTCCCTACATATCTAACTAAAATCTTGATTTTTAGGCAGACAAAAACACAATTAAGTTTCTTGGGAAATATTTTGAAACCATCACATGTAAAATAACATCCAAGACATCAGGTAACAGGAGCTAACCCTAGACAGTTCTGGCAAAAAATAAAAAAAATTAAGCAAAGGCTGAATATCACATACCTGCATATGAGCAGAAGTACACAGAATGGTAAGGATAAAGTAATTTGAAAATGAAGTACCAACACCATGGACATCACACAGATGTTTCTATGGTGCATTGAATGAGGTGAGAGAATTTTTTCCATGAATCAAATAATCAACTCAGGCTCAAGGTAGTCTGAGAAATCATTTGCAAATTACTGTACATGTCTAAATGGGATAGACCTATACAAGTGCGGCATAATCAGCCAGGAATCGAGGAAATAAGAGCTCATACAAATAGATTTACTCGCTGCTATTGAAAGAAAACCTATGTCTGCTCTATATTCACCTCAATACAATAATCTCCAACAATACAACCGTAGATGAAGCTGTGGGTCTAGGCTCATATGTACGCAGCTTATTCCTTCAGTGTGGGGCTTAAGCCCGTGCCCAGGCGAGGTCTAAGGCTAACTATAGATTGGACCTATCAGAACTCACCGAAGAACCTCTGCCAACTCTTCCTCCGTATCCTCTTCCTCGACCTCGAAGACGAGGCCGCCTGTCCATATCATAATCATCGTCCAACGAAAACGCCATGATGCTCTTGAGTGAAGAGCGGCAGCAGTCACATTTAGCCAGTGCGCATAGCGGCTTCTCTCCGTGGCTGCGCATACAGAACGCGGGTAAACGCCCCACCTCAAGGCCTCTCTGGTGTCATTAATGCACGCTGTGAAGGATAGATGGCGAAACTCGTCATCTCGTTTTTCATGCCTTCATCGATTGCGCCGTGATTATCGCAATAACGATAAGAAAATGTTCTATACCGCAGGATCAAGAAGATGATGGTGAATTTGACAGTCAAGTAGGCCCCGTATGCCTATCACGGTCGAACTTTATCCGTCGTTCTCTTCACGAGGAGTAAAGTGAATCATTAGGCAATAGGCTTATCCGAGCCTGCCAAGCAATTCCATTAAAAAGCAATTTTGAGTGACAGGTATAAATGAAGTAGAAAAGTCATAAGTCCTATTTCTGGAGAGGCTCTGATGAGATGCCGTGGTGCGATGATGAATGACTCTAAGTGCCCTGGTTCCCCCTCCGACCCACAGGTTTCGGTTTTTTGTCATATTTTCTTTGGGCAACACGACCCAGGGTCTCCGTCAATTACACTCAGCGAGTAAATAGAGCAAGAGAAAAAGCCGAGTTTTTCGGATTCCTCTCGCAATCCGTGGAGTTTCCGAGTGAGATGGTGTCGAGTGAAGAGACTCAGCGGAACCATTTGCAAAGGTGACAACTCCAAAATTGTGCGGTCGATTACGCTTTATTCCATCCGGCTCGCTTTTAACAACGTTGAAAAGGGCTTGACTTCGGAACGTGGAACTGCTCTACTGATCCTTGGCAAGAATTTCAGACGATCTGGTCCCTCTTGAAACGCAGTCGGTCATCGTGCTCCCCTGCAAACGAAACCAGTGACAGCGGTGAATTTTTTTTAATATTATAACCTTTGCAAATTCATTAGTGGACTCAGCAGAAACGGTAAAATATGTATATACTTATGTTTTTTAACATTAGTACATGCATATAAAAATGGGAGGTTTTTATAATACGCTTGGAAAGATAATACCGAGTTTCTTGGAGCATTTCCAAGCAATTTTCACGGAGCCTGCCACTCTTTAACGACTCGAGAACTGATAAGCACCCTATTCTTCCATTTCGGGCTGTTGCCCCGGGTAATTTGATAATGCTGATCTCTCTGGCAAGTTCAACGGAGATAGCAGGAAATTACACTGTTTTCACTCTCAGCGTACGCACAAGAAGCAAAAGCAATTTGTCAAGTATTTATGCTAATTTTATTCATAGCTGTTTGGGTGATCAGATGAATTTAATGCGATCTTCTCCGATATAAAATTTAAAAATCTTCCGTTGCAATATTCATCTCAGAAGGAACCAGCCATCTATCGCAGTCATACTACGTTAGGTTTTTATTTCCCTAGAGCACAAACGAGCCCGCCTTCGAATTCAGTGACAAATAAAAAAAAGATGGACATCATCAAAGCCCATTGAATATTTAACAAGAGCTGATCGAGAGAGAGAGAGAGAGGGGGGAATCCATTGTATATGCAATTGGGGCTTGAAGAAGCGAAGACCCTTCAAGTTTACCCGCTTGGGACTCCCCCCGTGCCAAGAGAAGCAAATCACTCCATGAGCTATGTACATAACGCGAAGACGAACAATATTTCGCCTCGTAAGAGCGAACTTGCCAGGGTACACAGTTGCACATAATCTTTTGCGCGAAATTCTGACAGGACCTATCCTCATCCCAAGACTCTCTTGTCTTCGTGATCCCTCGTTTCGTTCCTTTCAAGACCGGAGCTTATTTTGTAAACACGACGGGGAAGTGGTGCACCAGATGTGCAAACTGCAAAATCTCGTTCGGCCGTAGAGATTTCTCCATCGACAGCATCGAGGAGAGGGAAGTTCCGTGGACATTTAATGATTTCATTAATTAGCATCTGACAATATTAATTCTTTCCTGGAATGGGAAATTGTGTAAGAGCTTACGACATGTAAAACTCGTTTCCTCCAAACCAGTACTTGGTTCGTATTTCTCTCTTCGTATTCTCGCTGCATTTGCCCAACGCAAGAACACTGCGGAGTACCGGTTTCGTAATTGATCTGGAGGAAAACAGAGCCGAACGGATCGGCCCGAAGAGACACGAGCTGGATAGAATGTCTATCTAGGTGAAGAGATAGCGGATAGAGGATCGGAATGGAAGGGAGGAGGAAGAGGAGGAGAATCCGTGAGTCGCATCTCTGAGCTTTCTCCCGGCACTCCCGGGGGATCTCGCTGGATTCCATCGGCGTCAGATGTGCCAGGAATAGCGAACGTTCCCCCAAACAGCATGTGACAGGTAGATTGTGTGCCTACGTCGATCCGTCTGCTAGGGGTAGCTCCAATGTAAGCAAGACTTTGTTTATTTCAGACAAATAGGGGATGAGGCGCACTTTATCACCCTTAATTAAATAACTGCATCCGAGTTACGTCCGAATTTAATCCTCGCCGGCTGTGACGCATTCTTGCTGACGTGTCCCTAGCTTTATAATGCTATATCACGAAGGAAATGCAGTCGCTTATTCCTGATCCACGGCGTGACTGCCATTTCCACCTCACCAATGTTTGCAAGAAGTGCTCAATGCAAAAACTATTTTCTGCAAAAAAAAAGGAAGTCAGATGGTGCTAAATCCGGGCTACATGGGGGAATCCGGCTGAGCAATCGTTCAACCAAACCCCCAGAAGGATTTCCTGTGTAACAAGGCCAAACATGTGGATCCCGGTTTGTCGCGTAGCAGAAGAATCTGCCTCATGGGAAGCCCAACACGTTTGCGTTTCCTGGCGGGTTTCAATATTTGAAGAGAAGAGACGCAATGGGCAGCATTTATCGTCTCATTCTGAGGCAGAGTATGCCCAAAAGCACGCCCTGTGCATTCCGAAGAATGTCGCAATCACATTCTTCATAGATGGCGCAGTTTAGAATGTTTGGGGTTTGCGGAAATGTTGGTGTCTCCATTCCATGCTCTGCTTTGTTGTCTCGGGTTCAAAAAAGGCATTGCCCAGTCTCATACACATTTTTTTTTACTCGTCGGTCCCATTGAATCCAGCTATGCATTGTTTCGCTTCGGTTACGGCATTCTTTGGGCTTCCGGTATGTGATTCATTTTTCACCTGATTCCTGTTCATTTTTAAACGTCCTTTACCGCGCAAAAAACCTCGGCCCTTCTAAGACAAACACCACCAAACACATTTTTCAGTCTTCTGTAAACATAGCAACCTTTTCCTCAGAACTCGATCGCAATTCTCTGTTCTTTGGCCCATTTTCAAAGCCGCACAACACTATCTAGAGAAAATGAACTTCTGCTATTATGGTTTGGCTTAGAGTAAATCAATCTTATGCGCACTCGGGTTTACGAGGTCTTGGAATGCTTCCTCTCTTTTTCTTTTTTTTCCCTCCTGAAATAGACATGGCATTGTTTACATTGGATTGCCCCTCGCTTCTCTCGCGTGTATCCAGTCTCATCGGGGGTCCTGCCGCCGACGAGACCTAACTATAATTTCCCCAAGATTACGTAATCCTCTATTGTGGACAACTTAAGCTTCTGACAGCTTCCCCACAAGATGCATGCACGACCGAAACGTATCCCCATCTCACATTCCCCAGCACGCAACTCTAGAATCTAGGAAACGCAAAGGAAGAGTGGAAAAAAACCGCCAGGCGACAGACTGGACACGGCGACCATGATGCACCCCCAGGCCGTGCTCCACGCCCACCCGACGAGGCAGAACGTGACGGTGAACGCCTGGGCGAACCCGACGAAGAAGTTGACGCAGGCGCAGAGGGACCGCTGACCGGCTTGCTCCGTCGACGACATCCGCGGCCGCCCGCAGCACATCACCGTCCAACCCGCCAACATGGTCCCTGCGTCGACATTCAATTTTTCAGGTGCATTTTGGAATTTTTGCATTTGAATTTTTGCAGGGACGAGTCACGTGCTCTTAAACGTGGGGGGAGCTCGATGCCAGAAGGAAATATAATATCGATATTATATATTCTCGATTTAGCGTGGGAGATTACGGTGACGTCATTCGTGAACCTTTGAGGGATCGATACCGTCTCGTTGCTTTATTCAGGCGTGAAATACGAATCCGGAAAAGATGCCCATCTCGGGGGTCTCGGGGGAATCCCTCCGAGGCCCCCTCTGCCCCCGACGTCATCCGAGTTTTCCGTGGGACAACGTCCGTATTCCTTTTCTGGATGATCGACCCTCGCACTCCAGTTGAAAAAGTGTCCATTACTTTCCCTTTTCCTCGTTCGACTCGTTGTGACAATCGAATATCTTGAAAAGACATTTTCTGCGCTGGGGGCGGGGTTGGAGTGGGGGGGTAGAACTAACTCGACTCCGATATGGATCCAAGAATGTCGATTTCCACCGAAAATGGAGTATGACAGCACGCAAGGAAGAAAACTCGCTCAAAATTGAATATTACAATCGATAAATAAGAAACGTCCCTGTTGTTTTGGAGACAGTGGCCTCTGAGGATTGAAGGGTTCTTCGTTCTCCCGGTTCCTACAATCGTCAAAGGCTGAACGTTGGGAAAATGTGCATTTACTGCCACGACGAAACTTTCTGTTTCTTTTTTTATTTAATAAATAAATATTAATATTTATTTAAAGGAACCCTACAAGTGTCGAGGTTGCAACTTTTTATTGGTTCCTTCCTTGTCGACTGAAATATTACCAAGATGTCGGTTTGTGTTGTACCCGGACTCTCGTGAAATATATATTTGCCCCTTTGTAGAAATCCTAAATTTCATCCCCGACTTCGCGTAAAGGTAATTAATAAATCAAGAGCAGACTCTCCAGGAATTCTCGTTAATTCCGACCGGATATTTAAGGAACCCAGTGATCTCAGGCCTCCCACCCTGCCCCGAGCCCCCACATCCATCCACCCTGCTCCGAGCCCCCACATCCATCCACCCTGCTCCG